GAGCACTCATTAGCTGACTGGATGGATAATCTAAAAGCCATGTGGCCCTCTGTGCCTGAAGCACTAAATAAAGCTAGGGAAAGCCAAAAAAAGGAAGCAGATCAGAAAAGGGCCCTACAAAGGGAATTTAGAGTAGGGGATAAAGCGTATTTGTCCACCAAGTATCTAAAGCTGAGACAGCCTTATAAAAAATTAGGCCTCAAATACGAGGGCCTTTCCAAATCATCTGGATCATGAATCCGGTGATGGTGGAGCTGAAATTGCCAAAAAGCAATGGGTGGGTTCATCCGATATTTCATTGCAGTCTTTTAAAATCCTTTCCAGAATCTGGGCTGAGACCAGTCAAAGAACCACCTCCTCCTCCCATCCTAGTTAAGGGAGAGGAGCACTATGAGATCAAAAACATTCTGGACTCCAGATAACACAAGGGAAAATTACAATATCTAGTAGTATGGAAAAGCTACCCGTTAGCAGACGTTGAGTGGGTGGCTGCTCCAGACATTAGAGCAGCGAGGTTAGTTAAGAGGTTTCACACTAGGTACCTTCAACGATCACAATAAGGAATGTAGCAGTAGTTGGGTTGTAGGTAATAATCTGTATGTATGTTTATTATTGTTTCAGGTTTATCCTTCTTCTGGGGGGTCAGCATGTCAAGACTGACTCGCACTTTCGCCTATATTCTGCTTTGCTCGCAGCTTGACAAAAAGAGGGAGGGGGTGGAATGGACTGGAATGCAAAGGTAGGGTGAATGGCTTCCAAGCATCCATTGGTTCTCGTGAGACATCGCTTCCACCTCAAGGACACATCGATCAGATGTCCTGGCATGGCTGGCTGTTTCCCATAACAAAATGAACAGAAGTGATTAGTGGACGTAATGTACGGTGGGTGGCCCATAGAGAAAGGGGGAATTAACTATGCTTGCTTTTGCAGAGCTGGTTTCGCTTCTTCTGCGCCAACGTGGTTTATTCAGTAAAGTTTTATAGTCTTGGTAAAATAATATCCCAGGAGTTTCTTTTTCTGGATTCATCAACTGGACAGTTGACATTGAGATAGAAATTGATCATAAAAAAAGGGAGAGGTGTGTTTCATGTGAAATTTTGGGAGAGATTTGTGTTGTTTTGTTCAGATTTCTGAGTGTTTTTCTGGCTTGGGCCTAGCTATTGGATTTTCTGTTCCGGAGCAACCGGGGGGAGGGGTGGCAGTCAGAGAGGAGGGGCTAAAATACAAAATTAGAAATATTAGGGGTGAAAGCTTGCGAGGAGGAGGGGCAGGGGGAGGGTCTGTGGGGGGGGGGAAGATGAAAGGTTGAGAGGAGGAGGAGAAAAAGGAGAACGAGGAGGAGGAGGAGGTGGGGAGGAAGCGTGGGAGTGTGGACAAGAAGATATTTTCCCCTTCATGAAAGAGTCAGGACAGGATCCATTGCACCATTTTGTTCAACATAAAAGGAATAAGAAAATATACTGCCGTGAAAGGGAGACTGGGAGGAGAAACAGGAGGTGGGTACAGTCCCCAGGAGTGAAAAAGCACAAAAAACACTTGCCCAGGGCTCCCTTGAGATGGCAGATGGGAAGGGGCAAGTAGAAAAGACCACCCTCCGGTGGGTTCAAGGCCTTCAGCTGGCATCAAGTTGAGGGGGGCTGGAGTAGACTTCCAAAATCATGTCCAAAAGGGTGATGGTGAAAGTTCTGATCCCAGGGGTGGCACAGAGGGACTGGCGTCCCAAATCTTTGTGGTCACTAGGTATGCCCCTATGGAATACTGAAAGCATGTCACACGGACACTTTTACAAATTAGTTGCCCCACTGAATGCGGACAACTTCAAAATGCCCATTTCTCAGAAAACAAAACCCTTTTATGCGCCATGGTGGTGCAGTGGTTAGAATGCAGTATGGCAGGCTGATTTTGCCAACTGCCAACAGTTCGATCCTGACCGGCTCAAGGTTGACTCAGCCTTCTACCCGGGTTGGGATGCTGCCGGTTTAACAACCGGTTGGGTGATCTTATATGAGCAGTTTTACAAATACTAACCTTCTGTGTTACCACTTGGGAGTAACACAGATGAGGCATGGCAATCTGCTCTGCCGTGCCAATCAGCTGAGAAGATAAAGGTAAGTAAAGCACAGGGGCAGGTGGGCGGGCCAACCTGATCGTCAGAGTGAACCGGTTCGCTTCCAGCTGATCGTCGAAGCTACGGGTTCCACCCAAACTGAACCAAACCAGTAGAATCCCACCCCTGCTTCCATCCTTCCAAGGTCAGTAAAATGTGGACCCAGATTGTTGGGGGCAAGATGCTGACTCTGTAAACTGCTCAGAGAGGGCTCTAAAACACTGCAAAGCGGTATAGAAGTCTAAGTGCTACTGCTATTATTTTTAAGAATGTTGCTTAAAAGAAGTGGGGACCAGAGGTGCCTCCCGTCTGGACGACTGCAATGCTCTCTACATGGGGCTCCCCTTGAAGAGCACCCGGAGGCTCCAACTGGTCCAGAATGCAGCCGCGCGGGTGATTGGGGAGCGACATGGCACTCCCATGTAACACCTCTCCTGCACGAGCTGCACTGGCTTCCGGTGGTCTTCTGGGTGCGATTCAAAGTGCTGGTTACCACCTTTAGAGCGCTCCATGTCTTAGGACCCGGGTATCTTTGAGACCGCCTTCTGTCACCAAGAGCCTCCCACTGGCCAGTACGCTCCCACAGAGAGGAGCTCCTCAGCCGTCGGTCAAACAGTGTCGGCTGGTGGCCCCCAGGGGGAGAGCCTTCTCTGTGGGGGCACCTGCCCTATGGAACGAATTGCCTCCGGAGATAAGGAGGATTCCAGATCTACGCACCTTCTGCCGCGCCCTCAAGACCTTTCTATTCCAACAAGCGCTGACCTAACTCTTTTAATTGAGTAATTTAGTTCTTAATTTGATTTTAAATTGGGTGTGTGTAATTGTCGTGGGCCAATACTATTTAATTTGTTTTAAACTATTTTTAAATTTTGTATTCTATGTATTTTTATCTTCGGCTGTTCACCACCCTGAGTCCTTCGAGAGAAGGGCGGTATATAAATTTGAACAATCAATCAATCAATAAAATTATGTTGGCACAGCATGCAACTTGGCCATTTCTAAAAAAACATTAAAAAATCTTTAAAAAGGGGATATGAGGCAGAGCAGTCCCAGCAGGCTCTTCCTTGTCTGTTCCTTTGAGCCACATTCTCTTCTTCCCAAATCATTGAATATAATTTATCTGGCCTTTAGGTTTGCAACAAGACATCCTGTTTTTTTGACGCTATTGTGACATTCATCCAAACAGTTTAAAAATCCTAGCCAGACTCAAGGGTCTCATATCCAGCTAGACTGAAGGGAGGGGTTAAGAGGGGGCCAGGTTTAGAGTCCTTGCCCTGCAGGGAGCAGCACAGCCTGTCCTCCCCCAGAATCCCTGAAGCCTTATCTGACCATTCCCAGGGGAATGCAGTCCATCTGACAAGATTCGTGTAACAGAGGTGATTAACAACAAAGTTTATGCTTGAGACTTATTCACGAGTGGTTCTGGGTTTCCTCCTTCCTGACATCACTGTATCAAACCAAACAGTGTGAGTCGATTAGCCACTTCATCTGTTGGTATGTTGGATCCTGCATCAGTAAGAATGGGGCCACTTCTACATACTGGGTTTCCCAGTTTGGTCTAGTGGTTAAGGTCCCAGGCTAGAAACTGCAAGATGGTGAGTTCTTAGGCACGAAAGCTGGCTGGCAAACTTTGGGCCAATCACCAGAAGACCGTGAGTTCTAGTCTCGCCTTAGGCATGAAAGCTGGCTGGGTGACTTTGGGCCAGCCACTCCTTCTCAGCCCAGCCTACCTCATAAGGCTGTTGTTGTGGAGAAAAGAGCAGGAGGAGGGAGTATTGTGCATGTTTGCCACCTTGGGTTATTTATATATATATAAAGACTAAATGAATAAAACAAATACAATTTCCTGAAATGAACAAGGAGTCTCAACTATGAGGAAGAAATTCAGAAGCCAAGAAGTGCCAGATGAATCCTGGAATGCATGTTGGCTGAGTCATGAGTAAGGACGGGGGGGACCCACTGTCTTTTTCTGCAGGAATGGGATTTGTAAGACGAGCCAAAATCGACTGTTGCAATACTAAGCACATTGGCTCATGTATGACTTTCTCTCATTGGAAAGTTGTGTGCAAAATTTCTCTGGATTGGGAATGGATTTGGAATGGAATAGAATATGGAATATGGAATATTGAAGAGAAGAGAACAAATATAGAATAGAATAATAGAATATAGAATACAACAGAATAGAATATAGAATAGAATAGAATATAGAATAGAATAGAATAGAATAGAATAGAATAGAATAGAATAGAATAGAATAGAATAGAATAGAATAGAATAGAATAGAATTCTTTATTGGCCAAGTGTGGTTGAACACACAAGGAATTTGTCTCTGATGCAGAAGCTTTCAGTGTACATGCAAAGCAACAGAATCATCATCATCATCACCATCATCATCATCACCATCATCATCCCAATAAGAGCGGGGAGTAAAGAAGTTAATAAGAAGGATAAACGATAATACTACAGCCATGCTGGGTACACAGACATAAGGCCGTGCTGTGAGAGTTAGCTGTTTACCAGAGTGATGGCAGGAGGGAAAAAGCTGTCTTTGTGTCTGATTATCTTGGCCTGCAATGCCCTGTAGCATCGTCCCATGGGGAGGAGTAGAAACAGTTTCTGAGGTCTCTAGATATTTTCTCAGCCCTCCTTCTGACCCGTGCAATATACAATCCGAACTATTCAGATATTTGCCCTATTAATGCCAAGGGCTCAAGTGGCCAGATAGACCTTGATCTGCTCCTCCCGGTGTGGCCAGGCATCTCCCAGAACCCAGGGCTAACCCGAGTTAACCTCTTGTGGCCTCCTGCTTGGCGAGGGCCACAGAAGGAGGGTTCAAGGGCTGGCTTCCCAAGAGCCATCCACCGTAGGGTGGCCTTTTGGAAACACCTCTCACCTCAAACTTCTGCCTGAACTCTTCATTGCCTTCTTCACCTTCGGCGGGGACAGGAACGTTGAAGTATTCTCCCTCTTCCTGGCTCAGGAGCTTAAACCTGAAGGGGAGAGGAAAGGGAGATGTCAAAGGAGGTGTGTCCTGTCCTTTGTTTTAATTAATTGTGCTCACTTTTAAAGAAAGGAATGATCCAAGCAAAGCAGGTACCGGTAACAGAGATCCACACTCAAGCACCCCAAGAACAGAAGCGGACGAGTGAGGGCATTGGGATGCAGGCGACACCTCTGAACCCTTTTCCCTTGTCCAAAAATGCTTAAAAGAAGCAAACAGAACCCACAGCGAGAGGCAGAATGTGGCCTATGCCCGGTGCATGTTTTGATTTGCAGGTTATTTTTTAAAATGGCCAATTCTTTCTTTTTTAACTCAAATTTTCTTTTTTATTGTATAAAATACAGAAAAGAAAATAGGAAACGAAGGGAAGGAAAGGGAGGTGTGAAATGTAAAGGGGGGGAAGAGAAAAAGAAAGGAAAGCGGGTATTGACTTCCAACTTCTTCCTAGCGCAGTACAAGATAAATACACTCCAACCTTAAAAAATGTTTTGCTTTTACACATCAATATATAACTAGCCATTTCTATAACACCAAATCTTTTTAATCAACAAAACCAACATCAAAGTTTCATTTATTTATTTATTTATTTGAAATTGAATACTTTATTTCAAGAGGAAAATATGTTCTTATTTGGATATCACTTCTGGAATTTGTGTTTGTGAAGAAAAAAAACAGGGGCCATTCTTTCAAAATGGTCTCTCCGGCCCATCGCTCACTCGGCCTGCTTAACATTGGGCAGCCATGCCAGCGGGGAAGGCCTCCGTGGCCCCAGACCCAGAGGGGATTTTCAAGACTAAAAGGAGGAAGAAGCATCTCCTGCTGGAGGATGGGGATTTGCATCGTGCAGACCCCGCCCTCTTCTCTGGATACGTACCATGGCTCTTTAGAGATGAAAAACAAATGGAGCTTTCCTCCTCGCAGAGTTTATCTAAGCCAAGGACTGTGACAAGGAAAATTACTTAGATCTCCACTTACTGGTTTTTAAAAATGCAGCACGTAGCTGCTTACCATATATTTTACATGCTCTCTAATGTGCTCAGCTGGCTGAGCCAAACTGGAGGCAAGACCGCAGGTGGCGAGGAAGCCAAAGGAAATAGGGGAGGCTGAAGGAGGACCCAGCTGGCAGCCAATGCACAGACGGGGCACATTGTCCCCAGAAGTCCTGAGCCTCTGAAGGCCACTCCTGACCCCCCCACCCTCACCCCGGCTGCCCGAGCCCTTATGGAACGGCAGCGCTGTGAAAGGGTCTAGGCTGCACCCAAGTGACAAGAGGCTTCCCTTCCAAGCATCTCCCCCCCCCGCCCCCACCCCCACCCCCAGTGCCTTCTCCCCCACGGCTTTGGCCGAGCCCACACATCACGCTTACTCTGCTAGTGACTGGTTATGCCCAATAAATATGCCAGGCTTTATTAGTTTTCACCCAGGCTGGATTCGGGCAGGGTGAAGCCCTAAGTTATGGGGAGCCGTAAAAGCTCTTTTCTGGCAAGGTCTTGCAGAGAACGAGGCCGCATCACAACTGAACTTGGCAAGGATGCCATCCAGATGAGTAACAAGCCCAGGTTGGCATGCAGAGATGGTGTGACTGCATGCAGACTCAAAGCGTATCTTAATCAATGACCAAAGGTCATGTGAGCCACATAGAGGACTTAATTTATGGAGACCTTCGTAAATGACATTGGAACTGTAACGAATGAAAATAATTTTGAGAGGTGCCTTTAAGCTATAGTTTGCTTAGCTTATGCTTAAGTGCTCTCAAGTTCCTCTTTTTGTGACTTGCCATAAGGTGTGTGATCACAGACCTTTGTTTAGATTTTCATTTAATGTACTCTAATTCAGGGGTCTCCAACCTTGGCAACTTTAAGACTGTGGACTTCAACTCCCAGCAAAGCTGGCTGAGGAACTCTGGGAGTTGAAGTCCACAAGTTGCCAAGGTTGGAGACCCCTGCTCTAATGCAACCCCAGAAAGTGGCTTAAGCAGGGTTTCCCCCCCAAATGTCTCCCATTAACTGCCCAAATTGGAGGGGTTTGGCAAATACCAAATATATTGTCAGAACTCTGCCCCTGGATATCAACTACCATTTTCCAACAGCTTCATTAGCTAGCATTTCAGAAAGGAAAAGAAATGCTAGAATATTCTGCTTCTTCAAATGACAGGAGAAGTCATTTTACAACTCCAAGATAATGTACCAGATTAAATCCTAGCATGACTCAATGTCCCAGTTTTGCTGGGTAAGCCTATTTGGGAAGAGGAGTCTGGGGCAATGCCCTCCCTGCTCAGCCAAGTGCCCTCTCTGTGCCAGGCAGCCAAGAAAACAAAACAAGGGGCAAAGCCACAGAGCCAGAAGCAACTTTGGCACTTGCCACTCCTTGCCGCTGTGTGAGTACTTGAGTGAGGCAGCCCTACCTCAGCAGCAAACATCTGGGTGATAGCAGAAAGGTACGGAAATACATGGTTCAGCATGAATTGTCTTTAATATACACATTCTTGCAAGCAGCTGATCTCAATGTCTTTCTGTGCATTTTTGCAATATACAAAATATTACTAAATTAATATTATTAATTAACATACAATATGTCATTTTGTGAATACGTTAAGTGCATACACCCCATAATACGTATTGTACACATATTGTGCATCATTTATACTGTGAACCACATCACATTTGGAAAACTGAGGTTCAGATTAAAATATGCAAAATGAATAACTTAGCATAAAAATATAAACAGAACAAAATTCTCCTCCCCTTGCCTGAGAATCAACATGAAAACTGCATCTCCTGATGAAAAGAAATGAGTGAGTTTACATTATTTATCCATCCCTGGAAATCCTCAGATGCAGGAATCTATTTTCTGTTAAATGGTCCTTCACTAAGGACAGCCAAGCCACAATGGTGTTTCTCAAGAACTGGCCTGGACAGATAACATTAATTTGCCTCCCCCATCCCCACTTTAAAAAGTCAGTTCTCAACTTCACTTGAATGGGTACTAAAACCCTCCTGCCCATAAAGAAAAGGACAGCTGGTGAATTCCTACATTTGTTGCTGTACTTATAGAACTATCATTCATTCATTCATTCTCATATTTAGGAACTGCCTATCTTCCTCACAGAGGGACTCTGGTGTCAAGTAAATGTTAAAAACATTAAAACTAAATCATCATCATCATCCTAGCCACTGTCTATCCACTGCAGGATGAAGGCCTCTTCTACATGTTTCCAACCAAAACAGTCCTGAACTTTCTTTTGCCAACTGGGCCCACCATATCTGCTGATGTCATCTCTCCATCTTGTTCTGTGTCTCTTTCATGGACAGTTTTGATCAAGTGGAATCCATTCAGTACTGCCTTGGTCCACCTGCCATTGGTTCTTCTTGCTAGGTAACCAGCCCTTTACCGTTTCTATTCTTTTATTTCCTTGATGATATCATCGTTTGTTCTCTAACCCATATGCAGGTCTTTAGATCTTGTCTTGTAATGCCGAGCATGGATCTTGCCATGGCTCTTTGTGCCACTCATAGCTTTTGTATCAATTGTGAGGTTAGTGTCCATGTTTCACTGGCATATGGTAGAGTAGGTAGCACACATTGATCAAAAACCTTTCTCTTCAGGCATAGGGGGAAGGAGGTTGTTCTTGAAAATTATGCTTAGCTTGCTGAATGCCTGCCAAACGCCATTCAATTTCCTTTATTGTATCACCTTCCATTGAGATCCATTGGCCGAGGTATATATAGTGGTCTATTACATCTAGGTTTTCTCTAGATATAAAAATAAATTCTTTCTTTTGTAAATTTATTAAACATAACCTAGCTCTTCAGGTTTATTTTTAAACCAAATGATTCTCCTGCTTCATGCAGCTCTTGAATGTGTCTCTGTAGCTCTTCTGGGTCTTGTGAGAAGAGAACAACATCATCTGCAAATCTTGAGTGATTTAAATAGGCACCGTTGATTTTTATTCCATCTTTTGCTCAGTCTAGTTTCCAAAATACTTCTTCAAGGCAAGCTGAGAAAAGGATAGGTGATATTGTATTGCCTTGTCATTCACCTCATTCTATGTTGATTTCCACCTTAAGATCATTAAGGAAAATTGTCGTCATTGTTTTTTCATATATTGATTGTAGTAATATAAACTTTAATATAGAGGTAAAGTTGACACTGTAAGTTAATTAAAAGGCAGGGTTCTGGTACCTGGCTCAACAATAGTAACTATGAGAGGGACCTAGGCAACCACCACTTAAGCATAAGTCAGCAGTGTGCTGCAGCCACCAAACAAGCCAACACAGTCTGAGACTGCAACAAAAAGAGGGATGGAATCAAGATCACATGAAGTGTTAATACCACTTAATAAGGCCATGGTAAGACCCCACTTGGAATACTGTGTCCTGTTCTAGTCACCACAAAACAAAAAAGATACTGAGATTCTAGAAAGAATGCAGTAAAAAGCAACAAAGATGATTAGGGGACTGGAGGCTAAATTGTATGATGAACAGTTGCAGGAACTGAATAAGTCTGCTCTAACCAAGAGAAGGAATTGGAGTGACATGATAGCAGTCTTCCAATACTTGAGGGGCCAACAGAGAGAAGAGACGGTCAATCTAGTCTCCAAAGTGTCTGAGGGCAGGACAAGAAGTAACGTATGGAAAATTATCAAGGAGAGATCCAACGTAGAAATAAGAAGAAATTTCCTGACAGTGAGAACAATCAATCAGTGGAATGAATTGTCTCCAGAAGGTGCGGGTGCTCCATCATTGGAGGTTTTCAAAAATAGACTGGACAATCAATTGTCGGGAAATAGTATAGGGTAGTGATGACAAACCTTTTTGGCACAGAGTACCCAAACTGGAAGGCGCATGTGCATGCATGCGCGTGCCAGAGCATCGGAAACTCGACAACCAGTTGGCTGAGTTGGGGTGATGGCACGTGCCCACAGAGAGGGCTCTGCATGCCATCCCCGGGCACACATACCATAGGTTCTCTATCATGGATATAGGGTCT